GTCTACACCCTCGTCCTCCTCGTCCTCACCGGCCTCAAGCATAGCGGGATCATTCCCACAAGCGACTCGAGCTTCACGAGCCTTAACACGAGCATCTTCGAGGCAGCCTCAGAAACGGATCCCTCCGCATGCAAATCTCGAAACACTTCTAACTGGGCCTCGGCATGAATCCACTCCTCATACAACTCCCGAGGAACATTAGAAAAATTTGAAGTACGGGAAGAGGACGGATGCACCAGTACTCGGGCATTCTCGGCCTCAAGAGCAGCAACTTGATAGTAGAGGCCAGAATTCTCTTTCTCCAATTCTCCAATCCTCTCATTGAGCCGCTCTTCTTTAAGCTTTGTCATTTCTAAGTCATTTTCTCGCTCAGAACGGAGAGTCTGAATCACCACCTCAAGAGAATTCGTCTTCCTCAAAGCCTCTGATCGAGCGGACTCCGCCTTTTCTAGATCCTCTACCTTCTCGGCGACCTCGCCACTTGGAGCCTCCACCCTGAATTGACACTCCTCAAGCTGAGCACACAGCAAAACCACCTGAGCTTGGAGATCGCTGCACTGGGCTTCTACCCTCTTGTTGAGCTCAAGCTCTTCCTCTTTGCTCCTCAACGTCCACTCCAGGACGCTGCACTTCCCTGCCATCTGTACCAGCTCCTCGTCCCTGGCCTTCAAATCCTCCCTCCATCGGCGTACATCGCCACCTTTACGAAGCTGACGGTACTTCTCAAAGACTCTGAAGTACTTTTCCTTTAACTTCACATAGATATCTTTTCGCCTATGCTTTCTACGAGCACTCTCAATTTCTAAGACGACCGTCTACAAAACAAACAAAAGAAGTTAGAGGCTGTGAAAGAACAAAACCAATGGAAAACAACTAACATCGAATGTACTTACCCCGAAGGACGAGGCCGACAATGTTATTCGATAGGTCATTGTCATTCATATCCTTGAGGGTCATACCATCAACTACAGAACTAAGATGGACAAGATAAGGGAATATCTGCTCGGTATTTACGAGAAGATTACGGTCCATCGGGATCGTAATAGTCCTTGAACCCCCCTCCAAACTCGTTTCAAGCTAAGTAAGCCCCTCGTCGATCATCCTCAACTCATCTACATCCATATCGGAATCAGATCCAACGTCTTCCTCAGAAACAACCTTACTTCTATCATCAGTCAAAAGAGGTACGTCCGTCTCAACACCGGAAGATGAGGCATATTCGCGTCTTGGAAGAATAGGGCCGACACGGTCCACCACGCCTTCAACAGCAGCACCCTCAGGTAGTATGTCTGTATCCTCCAAACAAAGGGTCTCGGGACTAGCCTCTGGGTTCTCCTTGATATGCAATGTGGCCATCTCCCGAAGGACAAAACCATAGTCTCCCATATTGGTGGCGGTCGACCTCTCCCCCACGACGTCCATGGCCCTCCTCTTATGAGGCATCAAATCCCCCTCGCCAAGCAAAGGCTCGTCGTCCTCATCCATAAGACTGTATAAGGGAAAAGCCGAGGTTTCTGTGGTCAAAGTCCCCACGGCCAAGGAAGGAACAGGTTCGGATGCAGCAATAGGAGGAACTAATACACGAGCAGAATCAGTCGAAGAAAGGGTGGGAGCCCAGGACGCAGTGGTTTTCCTCTTTCGAAACGAGGATGCGGGAGCTTTTGACCTCTTCGAAGATCCCCTGGCCGAAGCTAAGAAAAACACAGGAAAAGGGGAAGATCAGCAAAGGTAAACAAAAAGAAAAAGAACTAAGACTCCAATGATAAAAGGAACTTACCAGTCGAAGGGAGAGCAGGCCCAAACATCTTTAAAAAATCCGACCACTCACGAATCCCTACGATGTGAGGGAGGAGTCTACCAACCCTGTCGGAGGCAAGGTCTTGGCTGCATGAGAAAAGGACAAGAGGTCAAAGTCCACGACCAAGCACAAGAGAAAAGTCAGATACCTAGATACAAGGAAAATAGGTACTTACGAGTATAATTTCAAGCCTCAGGAAAACCATCGACGTTGGCCATCACGTCCTCGGTTCTAACAAAGAAGAAGTTGAACCAAAATTGGGGGTTGGCTTTGTCATCCATCTTCACCACCAAGTACTTACCTCCTCGGCGGCGAAGGTTCAACATCGCCCCCTATAAAAGCTGGGGGCGAATAGATGTATTAAATATCGAAGAGTTAGTTCGATCTCGGCTAGCTCGGTAAATTTAGTAAGCATCCTTATAAGCTTATAAACGTACGGCATGAGCTGAACTAGGCAAATGCCATAATAACGATAGAAGAAGGGGTAGGCGTAGAAGGCGCAGTACCCAGTACGGTAGACCTACACCGTATCCTATCCGGCCGGGATTAATTCGATGTAATTGGGAAGTCCGAACTTAACCTTAAGCTCTCCCAATTCCTCCACCGTCATCACTGACCGAAAGGCTCCAGGGTCAGCATCAGGTAATTTGGAAAAATCAAATCTAGTATCAGGGTTGCGAGGAATTATCTCCTCTACCAACGGGAAGCTTCCATCCTTGACAACGGAAGGAACATTCTCCTCGTGNGGTATGTTAGACATATTTTGATAAAAGAAAGAAAAGTATCAAACGATGAAGAACTGAGGACAATGCAAATCGCTGGAATAAAGAGGAGAGGTTTAAAGCAAGGAAAGAACAAGAGAGTAATATAGGGTTTCGAAACAACAGAAAACTTAAAACTTCAAAATCGCACCCAAATACCTCTATTTATAAGGATCTTGGCACCAGGACCGTAAACGGTTTATGATTACTGGGCACCGAAATCGAAGCAGCAAGTTCAATCAGATATCACACGCAAAACGAAGTAACGCATCGGGAATATGCGTTATAATGACGCATGACATCATGACATCATCCTAACTCGTGGACAGCATAACTCCAACAAATCGTCTGGGAAAATGGAAGCATTTGAAATGAGCGGCCTGCATAGGGCCACATTTCTAGTTCGTCGTAACCACCACGACCTGCACAGCTTGCTCGATTATTTTGACCACAACGAACAAGATCCGCTCATCGAACCCGCCTAAAGCCGGCCTCAATAAGCGGAGGGACTAACTGTATGGGTCAAAATCTGACTTAGAATATTTGGGCCAAGATAGTACTAAGGGAAGAGTTTCCAAATCGTTGTTTGTCGAAATAGCCCAAGGAGCAGCGAAGTATGTGGTTGAAGAGTCAACGAGAGCAGTAGTCGAGGTGTCAACAAGGGTCGAGACCGAGGTCGAGTACCGTTGACAAAGCTGTAACAACTAGTTTTCAAGATAGGCTATTAAAGAGAATATTCTAGTGGATATTCTCTCCACTTGTACTATTAGGGTTTCTTAGGAATATGTCTCATATAAAGAGAAAAAGAGACAATGATAGGGGACATGTGATATTCATTTGTAAAAAATACACTTTGACTTGAGAAAGAGAATCTCATTTTCTAAGATATAAACATCACATTTTCACTGAGATTCTTGTCTACACTTTTCCACTAGATCCGAGAATAACTCAAAAATTTAAGGGATTGTCTGTCATTCATCATTGTCAGAAAGAACATCCCCTCATTCCATCCTTTCTTGGGTGACACATTTATTTTATTTACTTAAATGTCATTTATTGTTGTTTATTGTTATTAAATGCTACATTGCTACTTCTGATTTGTGGAATATTCACTAGATACCACTGCCATTGTCCGACCGTACTTGCACAATATTTATTGTTTCTTTAAAAATCTCATCTAAGGATATTATTGTTAGCTAAGATTAACCCTTATTTACATAAATTTAACTATTTGAGCCAAGATATATATTTTTTGGTCAAACAACACTAACAACAAATGTATCGTTACAAATTGTAGTACAACTTTAACTTGTTCATATACTCATAAGTATTAGTAAAAGATGATATATTAACCCAGTGGCTAGAATTTAATCTCTTTGAAACGAAAAAATATGCAAGATTTTGGGTTCATTGCTAGCTATGGGAAATTCTTCTGTATAAACAACGTTATAAGATATGCTAGATATATAAATTTATGCTGAGAGGACATAGAAATCCTCAGAAGAGAATGAGTTGTTTTATAAGATACTCAAAAATGCAATTAATTGATCGTTTACCAGTTATCACTAGAACAAAACGTACAATTGAAAATTTGCAATCCCCAAGTTTCTTTAATTTTTTTGAAATAAAATTCTATTTTGAAATTACATAAAAAGTACTATAAGTCACAACAAGTAATAATTCAAAATATTTAAAAACTATTTGCAAAAAACATGATCAAAAAAATCTTGTTTGACTCCCCAAATAGTTAATTCTTTTTTTAAGTAAGAAGTTTAGAACTTTTTCTCCTGGAATTTTCATGCGTGAATATCTGTTCACGTATATTTTGCTTGCAATATTAATCTTCCGCGTTAATGTAAACATTTACACTATAAGACTAGCGGTTGTCATGTTGGCCATAAATTTGCTCAGTCCTTTAAATTTCTGTGGAGCCATAGATTATAAATAACAAAATTTCAGGATGTACGGTTATCAAACTATAAAAAGTAGAACTAGTTACTTCACTGTATAGAATTTTCAGTACAGTGATATAATATAATTAAGTTGAAGAATAATTTTTTCCACTATGATATCAAAACTTACGTACGTTACGTGCGCCAGCAAAAAAGAACAAGAAAAAGATAGCAACCGAACAAGGCGGCATGGCTGAGGTACGTAAAATATATTGGATCGAGTTGGTTACAGAATACGCATGTCTACGTAGAGGAAGACATAATATGGAATTGAAAGTTTGAAAACTAAGACTTTTTGATATACACACAGAAAGTTGATGGAACGTCATTTTAGGGTTAGATGGAAATTACATGGGGCCAAACTTGAGGGTCCTTTGCAACAGTTCTCATGTCGGCACTCTTTGAAAGAATCCTTTAATTTTATGGGAGTATTTATAGCAATGGAGATCATCAGAAAACACACTAATCACTTTGCTTTTTTACTAATCATATAAAGTGGATATATAGAAACTAAAATAAAGAGAAGTGAGAATATGGGACACCATTCATGTTGTAATCAACAAAAGGTAAAGAGAGGACTTTGGTCCCCTGAAGAAGATGAAAAGCTCATTAGATATATTACAACTCATGGCTATGGCTGCTGGAGTGAAGTCCCTGAGAAAGCTGGTCTTTTCTTTAACTCTTTCTTCTTATACATTCTACTGTGTAGTTATAAATAATACTTCATCTGTTTCGCTTCATGTGACACTATTACTATTACGAGAGTCAAAGAGATTCTTCTTTGACCATACTTTTTCAAACGTTCTTTGAACCGTAACTTGAAGATTTTATGTTTGAATTTACGTTTAAAACTAAGCTAGTTTGACAGGTCGTACCGAAGACCCGTCACATAAAATGGAGTGGGAGGAGTATACTATACAATATTCACTAAACATAATTTAAACTAATTGTATTTAGTGATATTCGTTTCCATTTGGCAAAAACAAAATGAAAGTCATTAATTTACTTTTTCCAGTATTTGGTGGCTTTTGTTTTTAGACACAACTAGTTTGGGACTGAAGATGTAGGATTTGAGTGGTGGTTTTTGGGTGCAGGGCTTCAAAGATGTGGAAAGAGTTGTCGATTGAGATGGATCAATTATTTGAGGCCAGACATTAGAAGAGGAAGATTTACCCCAGAAGAGGAGAAGTTGATTATTAGTCTCCACGGAGCTGTAGGCAACAGGTTACTTTAATTTCCTTTGTTACTAAAAATGTCCCAGCCTTGCATTTTAAACCTTTTTTCACTTTAACTTTCTTGAAGTAGCGGTAGATCTGTTTTCGTATGACGTATAAGTCACATGTTCGAGTTGTGAAATCAACCATTGATACTTGCATCAGCGTAGGTTGCATATATTATACTCTCTTGAAGTGCAACCCTTCCCTAAACCCTACGTGAACGCGGGATGTTGCACCGGGCTATCGTTCTTTTTCATGTACATTGCTCAATACCAACTTCGCACAGTTCAATATAAGTTTTCCATATATTGAAATAACTCTATGAAGCAGTGAAGCTTAAGTATTCACTTAATTCCAAGCAACTAGAAGAAATACCTCTTTCCACTTCTAAATTATGTTTCACTTTGAAAGCAAGTTTCTGATAAGATATTGGTTTACTAATTATGTGCATATGACACACACAAAGCACGCACTCAAAATTTCATTATCTGAATAGTTTCTAAAAAGGCATGCTCAACTGCATTATTTCTTTTATATAATTTTGGAGGACGTTAAGGAGGCAACATCAGATGTTTTCAGTTGATAATAATCAATTCAATTAAACAGTTAATCTTGCTTTTTTACTGTATTTTATTCTCAGTTTGAATTATAATACTAGAATTCACTGCAAGTCACTTGCCATTTGCCATAAAAGACATAGTGGAGTACGCTTGAACAACATTATATTTTATACGCCCGTCTTATTTTATATCGCACTTTTTTTTTTGTGAATGACACTCTTCTACGTTTACAAACTCGATTGTACCCCTAATAACACATGCCCATACAGTAATAGGAATATCATGCCACGGTCCAAAGTACAAGTTTTGAGGGTACTTTTTTGTATATTATAAAGTTTTTTTTTTTAACATCGTGTTCAGTTGAGAATATTATATAAAATGAAACAACAAGAGTGAACTCTTTTGGTATAGAAAAATAACGATTTCATCCTTTCACATGTTCTATTTTCTATGTAAAAATTGCAGGTGGGCACATATAGCAAGTCATTTACCTGGAAGAACAGATAATGAAATAAAGAATTACTGGAATTCTTGGATAAAAAAGAAGTTAAAAAAGCCTTCAAAGCAATCAACAAATAACACCACTTATATTACTGATCAACAACAACAACAACGATCTCAATTGGCTTATAACACAATCACAACAAGCCAACCAGAAATATTCTTGACTCAAGATCTTGGACTAACAAAATCTCAAGTCCTCCAAGATTCTTCCCTATTGATCAATTCTCCAAACCAATTGTTCTTTTTTGACAATGGATCACTAGACACTATGACAAATGTCAATGATGTTACAAATCGAGGTACTAATAATGCCTCATTATTTCAAGAAATATCAGTATTGAACTCAGAATTCTGGCAAGTCGATCAACAACAACATCAACATCAAGTACAATCATCATACACAACGGGAATGGATTCGAATTATTTGCCACCACTGATAGAGACCACGGTATCACCAATAGAAATACCTAATAGTAAATATAACAATAATATGATAGTGGAAGATCAAGATAATAATCAGATGAATGAAGAATGGTCCAGTTCTCCGAGGATAACCCGTACAAATCGAGAAATGGTCCAGTTGACCGAAGAATGGAGTCATGTGGATACACAACAATGTTGTCCAAGTTATCTATTTTGGGATCAAGAAATAAGATCACTAGGTGGGGATGAAATATATTAGACCCAAGCACATCAAACAATTTGGGACAGATTTTATCGGCTTTCCCTTCTTCCCTATGATTGCAACTTTGTGAAAGTGGAGATTGTCAACCCCTAGTCTTGTGAGATTTTTTGTTTCCTTTTTTTTTTTTTTTTTGAATTATTCCGGGAGCTTTTTTTATTTTTTATTTGTGAGATAGATAGAGAGTGAAATTGAAAGTGTTGTAACAGAATGTTAATTAAAAGTGTTTCTTTGGACATATTCTCAAAATTAAATGAGAGGAAATAACGTTGAGTTTGATGAGATATGCTTTCTTTGTCCTTTAGTGTGTTTTTTTCTTTTAATTTCATTTTTGTTTTTAGAATGAGGGTGGGCCGGAGTAATCCAGGGAGTAATTCGACGGGGAATACAGAAAAGACTAATCCATCGCCTGTTTGGCCATTCTTTTTCCTGTGTCAAAAGTATTTTTTTCTCAAAAAAGTATTTTTTTTTTTTGTTCTCAACTTGAGGTATTTGGCCAAGCTTTTCAGGGGAAAAAAGAATATTTTGGGTAGAAGAAGAAGTATTTTTTGAGAAGCAGAAAAAAGTAGCTTCTCCCCAGAAGCAGAAACAGTTTTGAATTTTCTTCCTACCAAAAATACTCTTAGCAAAATATTATATTTATCAAAATAATCTTATTTTTTGAATAATTTTTTGTTATTTTTAAATCATCTTGAAAGAATAAAACACTTTTCAATTTATTTTTATATTTTACTTAAATAAAATAAAAAAAACTTAATTATTATCGTTAATAATAAATATTTGTAATTACTTATCTACTTATATAATATTAACTATTAGATAAATCTCTTCATGTCCTTATTCGTAATTTAATATTTAAAAGTACTTTTTGAAAAGTTTGGCCAAACAAAAATTATTGCTCAAAAGTACTTTTTAAATTAATTAGCCAAACACAAACTGTTTTTCTCAAAAAATACTTTTTCGAAAAGCACTTTTACAAAAAATTAAAAAATAAGCTGATTTTTCCAACTTGGCCAAACATGCTATAAGACCACCTTACACGTCAATGATGCAGCAAAGAGCTAAAATTTATTTAATCTGTTAAATTTTAGTAAGTATTTATTATTGTGTTTAACAATGGATTGAGTTAGAATGATTTATGACTTTTTAATGTACCAATCAATGTTTATCACACAAAGTAATATGTAATTTTATGTTTTAGTACTTTTACACTACATAAAATTAAAATTCTAAGCTAATTGATAAGGACTATTCCAAGTTGGTTAAGGGTAGATTTTGAGAAGAGTTAATTTCTTAGATGGTCATCCAAATTATACAAATAATTCCTTGAGAAGAGTCTGTTGTTTGGTTTATAGCAATAAAATTACTCATGTTTGACCCAACATATTAACGCCTACGTGAAAAGCATTAGAAATAGACCCTTAAGTTGGAGACTAGATCTTAAAGTTGTCTTATAAATATATCATTGTGCATATTTAATCCTTGAATTTATCAGAACTAAGCACTTTTTATATCCTATTAACACCATTACACTATTAGAAAACTGCCTAATTTCGTTCAAGAAAATCGACCGATATCGGTCAAAATTTGAGTAAAAGCGATCGATTTTTGACCGCTTTTAATTAGTCGGAACAATAATGGTTGCTAAGGTGTTGCGACCGAAATTGGTCGCAATTTTTCGACCAAAAACGGATGGTTATTTCAACGCGTTGACTCACAACAGAGATAAATATACCGACCAAAATCAGTCGATATTAATTAATTTTTTTATTATTAATTTTCAAATAGCGACCGACATCGGTAGAAATTTTAAATATATTATAATTTTATAATTATTTGTAAATTATAATAAACCGACCGAAATCGGTCGGTATACTAAATAAATAAATAAATTTAAAAAGGCATTTCTGACCGACTTCGGTCCGAAATTTCAAGATTCTGCAGAATTCATTTGAAATTTCCGACCGAACTCGGTCGGAAATTTTGAATTTCTGAAGAAAAAAAAATGTCTGCTTTTAAGCTACACCACCTGCCAATCACAATCAATATCCATCCTATAATGGCAACATTACATTGCTGTCATTCAACCATAATTAACCAATAACAACAACCGCAACAACAACAACAACAACAATTAACCAACAACAACACTAATAACAACCATAACCACAACGCTAATAACAACAATGTCAACCACAACAACAACTATACAAATGTTCAACAACAAAATAATATCAACAATACAATCATCATTCAAAACTATTCCCAACTAAATATTCACAAGTTCAAGACTTTGTTTAGCAATACACACCATTCAATGAGTGTTTTGTATTGCATCATCTCCATCTTCACTACTAGAAGCTTCATCGTCGGCATGGTTCGAAGGATCAAGACGAGAAGGATTAGCATCTGGGGAAGGCTCATGAGACCGGGGAATGGGAAAAGCACCACTAGCAAGAAAATTGGCCAACTGACCTTGAAGGAGATTAAATTGTTGGTCTCTCTTTTCTGGCTGAACTTGAAGGGTATCCAATTGTTTATCTCTCTTTTGCTCTCTAGCCTTTGTCTCTTCAAGCTCTGCTGTCAGCTTTGCGATCTTCTTCTCCATAGACGAGAGAGTCGACCTATCAATTGCCTCGCCTTCGGCGGAAGTCCCTATACCTTGCAATCCAACCATGTAGCGCCGAAATGATCTCTCTGAAAGGTCGTATGCTATCCCCTTTTTAAGACCACTGACAGCATCCAACCATATCCACTGCGCTTCTTCGTCTGAAAGGGGTGGTCGCCCGCCTTGCTCATTCGGTGGCAAGCTCTAAGTGTACTCCTCCACATTAATCTTGTAGCGACCATTTATTTAGAAGATAGAAAATTATTAATTATGTAATATTATAAACATTAATTTCAAGTTATAGTAGTTATGAAACTTACATATGCATTCTCCGCCCAGTCCTCAACCCATCCAGTTGGATCTGTCGGTGCCTTCTTCTTTCGGATATAAGTCTCCATGAAGAACTCATCATGAGTCATCTTCCTCCCATATATTTTTTTCTACAAATATAATAAAACATGTTAACTAAATTAAAATATATAAATATAGTTCGATAAAAATAGAATTAAATATTTTAAGAAATTACCAGTAGTCTCCTCGCAGTCCCCATGCTCCTTGCGCCCACACAGTGCAAGGAGTCACCCTTCTCAGATGCTCAGGCCTTCTTTCCATGTTCACTCTTTTTCTCGAACTTCTCAGTGGTCCACTGCCTCAGCAGATCCTCCCATATGTGTGGCAGAACCTATGAAGGCTTCTTGCTCTTCTTCCGAGCAGAATAGAAGAAATCGGATAGTCACCCTTCTCAGATACTCAGGCCTTCTTTCCATGTTCACTCTTTTTCTCGAACTTCTCAGTAGTCCACTGCCTCAGCAGATCCTTCCATATGTGTGGCAGAACCCATGAAGGCTTCTTGCTCTTCTTCCGAGCAAAATAGAAGAAAACGAAGAAACCCATGAACTCAAAATTTATAAGAATGGCACTGTTATGTTGGTCCTCCCATGCACACTTAGTTTGCAAATGAAGTGTGTAATGTTAGATGAAAATATTATTAATATAATGCTTAAATAGATAAGAATTGTATTAAAACCTTAAATTGGTTGAAGATTTGCTGCACGAGCTCCGGTAGAAAGTCACTCCAAGTCGCATATGGTGTATCATACAACCGGCCAAGAGTTTCAGTGATTATCTTTGTAGTCCAATTATTAGGTATGAACATGCAAAATAGCAATTACATTAAATAAACAAGGCTAGCTATTATAATTCAGTAAAAATAAAGAAGTAATAAATAAATCTTACCCATTACCCTCAGGCCTGATAATCATCCTATGATAACAATCATACCGCACTTCCTCTGGATCATCTTCCTCCGATGAATCTAAAGCGTGTGCAGAAGGGGAGGCATCTAGCTCAGCGCTACTATCCTCTAAGGCGAAGTCTAGAAACGCTAGGAGACGAACTCCGTGGAGAGGGAGACTGGGTCGCTGATGAAGGTGGCTGCGAACTACACCCCTGCAGTGATCTAGACCCCTGCTGCGATCCAGACCACTGTTGCGATCCGGCTGGCTGAAATCTAGATGGATGCGATCCAACTGGTGATGAAGCAAATGGAGCAGATGGCGGGCGTATCACCACATGGCTCTGTGACTGATGACTCGATGGACCCATGTAACTATATGCAGGAT